GGACAAGATGAATGATTGGTAAAAATGAAAGGAGAAGGAGAGGAAGGAGGAGAAATGAACAGATCAACAGGAAGAAAAATTTGAAAAAAAGAAAGGAGAAAAATAAAGGGTAAGATAAGGAAACTGAGGAGGCGGGGCTTCTATGGTCAGCCAGCAGTCCTAGGAGCAGGCAGTGAAAGGAGCCTGGCACAAGTGGGCACCTACAAGAATGAAGGCTGCAGGTGTGTTTTTGTGCTCAATGTGAGAAATATCAGCCAGTGATGCAAATGCAGGAAGGGAGAGCCACAATCCCTGGGTCTGTCTGTTTGGAGTGGGTTGCTGAGGGTGGCTAGGCTGTAGAGGAGGTAGTCAGGGGATCTAGGTGGGAATGTCCTGGCCACCACCTTAGTAGTAGCAGGAGAGGTTTTTGCCCCTATTTGTAGGAGAGCTATAATTTTTTTAGAGTGAAGAGTGTGCCTCACCAGTCACAATTCACTGGCATGTCTGGGACCTTTCTGGGCACACATAGCCATTTATCCAGCTCCTGTCCAGATTCTAGTGAAAGGCTGCTCTGAGACTATCTTCTCCAACTGCCCCAAAACAAGCCTTTCCCCTTGCAGAGGTGGGAGGTACCTGGTGCATATGGGTACTTCTGAGAGAGGAGGCTGCAAAGGTGTGTCTGAGTTCAGTGTGAAAAAGATCTGTCAGTGCCTCAGGAACCAGGCAAGTGAACTTCAGCCTCTGACTATCTGCTGGAGAGGCCATAAAGGTATCTACCCCAATGTACAGAGAAGGTGTACGTTTGTTAGTTTGGGGAGTGTATTTCTCTAATCTTGATTGTCTGGCATCTTTGTCGGCACACACAGCCACTTATCTAGCTCTTGCCCAGATTTGAGCAAAAGCTCATTCTGAGCCTAGATTCTTCTACCACCCTGACACAAGCTTTTCCTCTCACATAGGTACTCAGCCCAAAAGACTCTGGTGTAGTGGTTAAAGCACTCCATTGTGCAAAAAGAACATGGAGGCAACAACTTCTGACTTCCTCCAACTTCACAAGAGGAAGACAGAATCACCATCAGCAGCCCAAGGCCTTCCTATGAGGCCAGACATGCTGCCACCCTCTAGCCTTTTACCAATTCTGACACCAGCCATCCCTCCCACGGCACTCACTACTTGTCTGCTGGGTTCCATGATTTGCTGCAATGGCCACACAGAACTCACAGACAATACTCACAATTATGGTGTTTATTAGGGAAGTAACAGGCTACAATTCAGGTTCAAGAGTGTGCTCAGGATACTATTCTTCGACCAGAACAGTCTACCCTCTTCTGTCCCCTGACACACTTCTCTGGCCCTTGGCCTCTCGGTCTAGCCTCTGATCTGCTTGGGCAAGTGTTACAAAGCTCTTGTAGCTCTGCTGGTAGGTACAACTAGGTGCACCCCCGTCTGTCAGCAACACTCCTACCCAAGGGCACTCAGCTTTCTCACTCTGTGGACCAGGTAAGCCCACTGCTCTGTCTCATGCCTATTGGTTCCACTGTGATCTTCTCTGTTGAGGCATCTCTCTCTGCCTGGGTGTCTCTCTCTTTGCCAGGACATGTCTCTCTGCTGGGGCATCTCTGCCAAGGAGGTCCAGTGCAGGGATCTCGGGTCCAAGGACACACTCTACTTCACCTCCAGCTTTTCTCTCTTGATGGCAGTGAGATCCCCTCTCTGCCTCTAGGAAGGCTCATTTTAAGCCTGGCAGAGTGAAAAAACTAACCCCAGCATCAGAATTCTATGCACCTAACTTGCATGGTCCCTTCCAGTAATCCGGTGGGAGTTACAAAGACTATGGCTAGAAAAGCTCTACCAAGTAATTCACCGCACCACACACTGTCAACCAAAAGGCTGGCAGTTTGAACCCATCTCCATAGGAGAAAGACAAGGAAGTCTGCCTTCTGCAAAGGTCTACAACCCTGAAAACCCCAAAATGAAGTTCCATTCTGACTCAAAAAGGGCCACTGATTTGGAATCTACTTGATAGTAGAGAGCTTGGTTTGGTTTACTTGTTGTTGTTGTTATATGCTGTCAAGTTGTACCCGACTCATAGCGACCCCTCCTTGGGTTTCCGAGGCAGTATCACTATGGAAGTAGATTGCCCCATCTTCCTTGAGGAGTGGCTGGTGGGTTTGAACCACCAGCCTTCTGGTTAGCAGTCAAGTGCCTTAGCCACTATGCTACCAGAGCTCCCGGTTTGGTTTACTAGTGGTGAGTTATTTCATACCTTTCTATGGCTCTGTCCTTGATCTGCAGCCTCCTACAGCAAACAACAACAACAACAACATGCCACTGTAAGTCTGATCCACTTCCCTGCACGTTCCTCTCCCAGTTTCCACATGACTTCAGCTCACCTTTAATTCCTCCCAGTCTGTCTATATTGTGTCTTTACCACTATGTGGATTCTGTGCAGTTTTTCCTCCCTTTTTATCCATGTCTGATGCCTCTGTGTTTAAAATGACTATACTTCAGCCATTCCTGGCTTCTTTTCTTTCCCCAGTCACTGACCTCGCTCCATCTTCCTTTCCAGTCAGTGCTCAATATAATCTCTATCTTCTCATTCCCCTCCAAAAAAAACCCCACTGCCATTGAGTCATTCCAACTCATAGTGACCCCTGTTGGGTTTCCAAGGCTATACATCTTTATGGAAGTAGAGTGCCCCGCCTTCCTCCTGCAGAATAGCTGGTGAGTTTGAAGCACGATCTTCTGTTTAGCAGCCTTATTCCCTACACCATTGGAGCGCAGATTTCCAGGATCATTATTTGTATCTGTTTCACTTGGTTTTTCTGGGTCTCTGTTGTAGAGGGACTGAGTGGAGTGTGTTAGCAGGATGCCATCTTGTCTTGGCCTCTGTGTTCTTCATATAGCCCAGCTTCTCAGGTTATTTGCTCAGCATACTGATTGAATAAGTATGGTAAAAGGATACGACCCTGATGTATGCCTTTTCTGAGTTTTAATTAACTATTCCCTTTTTCTGTTCAAACAACTGCCTCTTGGCCTATGCACAGGTTACTTATGAGTGCAATTTAGAGTTCTGGAATTCCCATTCTTGGTAATGTTATCCATAATTTGTTATGATCCACACAGCCAAGTGCCTTTTCGTAGTCAGTAAAACACAAGTAAACATCTTTCTGGTATTTTATGCTTTCAGCTAAGATCCATCTGACATAAGCAATGATATCCTTTATTCCACCTCCTCTTCTGAATACACTAGGTAATTTATGTGCATTGTAGTATTCCATTTTCTCCTTAACAACCATCTTTTAAAAAAATATTTATTTTTGTACCAGCTTTATAGATATATAATTCACATACCATACAACTCACCCATTTAAGATGTACAATGACTTTTAGTATATTCTTAGGGTCATAAAACCATCTCCACAATCAATTTTAGAATATTTTCAAAAGAGACCCTGTGGCCTTTAGATATCACCCCAGTCTTGCCATCATTCTCAAAGCATTCTTCAAGCATATACTCCATTTAGGCTTCTACCTCAGTACCTATAATACTAAAGTACTTATTTTTGTATGTGTTTGTCCTTCTCTAGTAAACTGAAGGCCTCTGAAAACAGAGACTATCCTCATATTCCTAAGATTTAGCACACTTCCTGGAATTGATCAATGTTTACTGAATAAATGATTAAGTAAAAGAACAAATGACTAGACAATTGAGAACAGTTGTAGTTCAAGCAAGGATGTAAACTATTGGAAATTAGGCCACATAATATGATGGTTCTACTTTTGACAAAATTTGCAAAACAACTCACATAGCTTGCAAATAATCACCTTTCTGAGAATAAACAAGATCCAAGTATTATGCTCATAGCAATGATGCCCAATAAGCAGGACTTACTGAAAAATATTCCAGGAACAAATAGCTATCAGATGACATAAACCAGGCAAGAGAACAAGCATCCTCTATTCTGGAACTCTGCTCACTGAAGTAAGTCACTCTTGCTGACTCACTTACCAGCCAGATTTTGGACCTTGTCTGAACCTATACTATTTGCTGCATTTCTCTGGATTTAGAGGCTTATCTGCTTAATTAAAAAAAAAAAAAAAAAAAAAAAACCATGATTTTTCTCCTCTGACGCACATGATCTCCTTAGGCTTGACTCCTTGCCAGGCCAGACTAGCTTCACTTTACCTCTCTGAGCCTCAGATTTGCTCATCTCTTAGATGGTGATATAATGATACATGTTATGAATGGTATTGTGTCCTCCCAAAATATGTGTTGTAAATCCTAACCTCTATACCTGTGGTTATAATTTCATTGGGAATGGGTTTTCTTTGTGGTGTTAATGAGGTGGTATTAAGGTAGAGTGTGTTTTAATTTCTTTTAAGATATAATAGAGCATATTAAGTAAGCACACATGCAAGCAAAGCCCAAGACAGAAATGAAGCTATGTGCCACATGATCACCAAGGAACCTAGAAGATGTATTTGGACTTCTAGACACCTAAACTGTGAGAAATAAATTTATGTTCAGTATAGCCACCCACTTGTGGTATTTCTATTATAGCAGCACTAGATTACTAAGACAGTACATGTCAACCAGGGTTGCTGAGAAAGAGGCATACATAAGGAAATTCCCCAACATTTATGTAGCAGCTGCCCATAGATAGAGTGATATGTGAGAGACAATCCTTGTCCTCCATAAGCTCACTGCTGAGTTGAAAAGACAGAAAAGTAAAAAGAAAATGACAATATACTTTGTTATGAGAGAAGCTATGAGGCACATACAAATCTCTTCGGTATCACACAGGAAAGGAATATTTACTAACAGCTGGCCCAGTGGAAAGCAAAGCTGGCCAAAAGCAGTCTCAGGGTCTGCTGCCTTGGCATGCAGCTCATGGCCTTTCTGCCACGGCCCACTGTGCCAAAAGCATGGCTGTAGCTCTGGATGAAGGGAAGAGAGCACAGCAACCTCAGCAGGCCAAACTTCAGATTAAGGACTCAATAGGAACCAAACATCTTACCTCTCCTCTGTGAATCTGGATGTTCCTTATAAAGCGCTCTAAAAGGCTGACATGCTGTGTGAGCCGCAGACTACTGTCATGTAATTGCTTATTTTCTTTATCCAGGAAAAGGACTCTAAGAATAGCACAAATCAAAGGCATAACTAGAAAGTTCTGTATCATTGGTGAAAATCCAAAACTAAGGCCCACTTCCCACTATCTAAGGTCTTAGCCCACTGTCCAAGTTTTAGAAAGAAGTTAAGCAGAATAATTCCCACCATATTCTAAAACCAAGTGGAAAATTAATAAGCTTCTGGCCAGTACACAGTCATTAAATAAATACTGAGAACAGGTAAACTATGTGCAAGAAGGGTGCTATTCCATCCCTTGAGATGCTTAGGGGTGGGACTGCAATGAGACTCTATTACTTCAAATACTATAGTTACACAACTTAATCTGGTTCTGATCTTGTACAGTCACCCAGTTCTCTAGCAGTAATTTAGTAGTAGAAGAAATAGGAGTCATGGAAATAGTAGTATAAGCAAGTATTCACCCATACTTAGGCACTGTGATTTACCCTCACAGTAAGCACTTAAAACTTGTCATGCATTGGCCCCTCATTTAAATTTCACAGCAACCTTATAAAATAGAAACTGCTATTAAGCCCATTTTATAGAAGTGGAAACTGAGGCTCAGAAAGGGGAAAGTATCTTGTTTAAGAACGTAAAGCTAGAATGTGGTAGGGCTAGGGTGTCAACACAAATCTTTCAGACTTCCAAGCCTGAGCTCCTTTCCAACCACCTACTTGGCTTACTCTCCAGTGCCACAGTTTATTTGGGAGACATGGCAGTGTGATGGTTATGAACAAATATTGTGTTAGTGTTCTGTTTTTTCCACTTCACAGCTATGTGACTCTTGACAATTTATCCAATATGAGCCTCAGTTTCCTCATCTGTAAAATGAGGAAACATCCTGTAGAAGAAATTTACTCTAAGGAAAATACCCTAAAATCCAATCCAGGTGACCACATTGTACCTTCAGGACACCAAGGCAGGAACATTATTAATGTTAAAGAAAGGGAAACAAGTCAGTTATATTGGACCCTAAATGTCTGAAGTGATCCTATAGTTTGAAAAGAGTAAATGTTTAGATGGAATGTATGGAAGAGGAGTCTGCGACTGGAGAAGATCAGTGGGTCTCCAGGTGTGCCCAGAAGAGAGCACACCCAAAGCAGCAGACAGGAGAGTCCCAATCTGCGTGGAAGATCTCTCTCTAAACTATCATGGTGCAGGCTCTAGGGCCAGGCTATCCTGCTTTGCCAGTGATTGCTGTTCCTGTTAGCTGTTGTCAATTTTCAACTCATAGCAACCCTATGTGACAGAACAGAATGGCTCCCTAGGGTTTTCTTGGCTGTAATCTTTACAGAAATAGGTCACCAGGCCTTTCTCCCATGGAGATGCTGGGTAGATTCAAACTGTCAACCTTTTAGTTAGCACTAAGTTGACTGAATTTCTTAACATCTTTGAAACTTATTTTCCTTGTCTGTAAAATAGGCTAATAATAGTATCTCCTTCCTAGAATTGGCATGAGGATTAAATGAGTTTATACATATAAACAGATGAGAAGAAAACCTAAGTGCTCAAAAAATCTAAGTCATTATTGTTATTATGGGTGACACTATCTGTTATGATCCACCTATACTCTTGGCTCTGATCCTGTGTTTGCCAAACAAATTTTTAAATGTAATTAAACTTTCCTATACAGGAGCAAATGCTCCAGCTGATTGATATGTGAATCCTTGCTTTCAATTTTTCTCATTAAAAAATGGTATGTTGTTATCTGGTGAGTTTCATGAATTTAAATCACTCTTGTGAACCTGATTGTCTCTTGGTCTCCTGATAAAAACAGAGTGTGTCAACACATGAAGTGATGGACCAGAGGCACACAAAAGGGTCTGCAATGGTGCAATACTGCTGTGAGAGAGCCTATCCGAATGTCTGGCCAGCCTCCTCCAAGAAATTTCACTCTGTTACTTCCATAGTCGGCTGAGAGTAGCAGACAGCAGAGAAAGCAACCATTATGGGATAGGCCTCAAGCTCAAAGAACAGTCTCTGTAATGCTGTTACAATTACTCGGTTGAGTGAGAATCATTCTTTTTACAGAATTCATTGGCTCCTGAGGTAGGGCTGCACCTACCTGCTCTGCACGGAAGATAGCATACGTTTGTTGTCATGGATCAATGCTTCTTGCTCTGTGAGTTGTTCCAGAAGTTTTCTATTTTCTAGGAGCAGGGTATCATTTTGGGTGGTGATGTGGTCCAGGAATGCTTTCTCCTGTCGATAAGAAAGTCCCCTAATTAACACAGCAGGAGAACAAATTATAGATTTAAGAGCATTAGCCTGTTTCTAAACTGTGATGGTAAATTTCACTCCTTCACTCTTTCTTTCCTGTCCTCTAGTCTGTTTTCATCTGTTTGCTGATCATTCATTCATTATAGGTAGATAGTTCTGTTTATTTTGGTTATTTCATGTTATCTATTTTGTTTGGAGCCCTGGAAACTTGGTAGTGCAATGGTTCAGTGCTCAACTGCCAAATGAAGTGTTGGTGGTTGGAAATCACCAGTGTCTCTGTGGAGAAAGAACTGGAAATCTGCTCCTGTAAAGATTACAGCCCAGAAAATCCTATGCGACAACTACTACTCTGTCCCACGGGGTCATTATGAGTCGAAAATTGACTTGACGGCAACCAACATCAACAACGACATTTAAATAATTTAATTATTTTGGGAGTTAACATTTAAAAATGTCAGTATGCAACTTCTAATAAGGTTCTAATGCTCTCATTTATAATTTAATTCTCTACAGGCATCAAACCAGCAACACATAAAACTGAATTCTCTCAAGCTCCATATTGAAATTTTTTTCTTGTAATACATTTCCATTTACTTTGTACTTATATTATTTTTAAGTCAAAAAGGGGGGGGGAAGTGGCAGACAATGGTCCTATAAGTGTATTTGTATGATCTGAATTCCCAGGTGTATAGTAGAGCTGACAAGGGACAAGGTTGTAGTCACTCCTTGGTCACAACCAGCAACCTAGAGGGAGTGAGTAGTTGAACCTGTAGGCTCGGGACCATAGTCACAGGGGACATCAAGCTCAATTGGCATAACATACTACACAAAACATTGTTCCACCTCCTACTTTGGTGAGTAGTGACTGGGATCTTAAAAGTTTGCAAGCAGCCACTGAGATGCAACGATGGGTCTCTCCTCATCCAGAGCAAAGAAGAACGAAGAAAACCAAAGATTCATGGAAAGAATTAGTCCTAATGACTGGTACAACATGCAATCTGCAGCCTATACAACTATGAGACCAGAAGAACTAGATGGTGCCTGGCTACCACTGTCAACCACTCGGAGGGGGAATCTATGTAGGAGATCCTGGATAGAGAGGGAGAACAATGTGGAACAAAACTCAAAATCATTTGGGAAAAAAAAAGGGGGGGGACCAGGTGCTGGTCTGATATAGAGCCTGGTGGAACCACTGAGACTATGGCCCCTAACTGCCCTTTAGGCCTGGAATTGAACCCACACCTGTGGCTTCCAGCTAAGCAAAAGACAGGCATATGAGTTGAACATGTACCTGAGGTAGATACACTCCTTGGAGAGAACAATCATGTGAGAAAGAAGGGCTTTTTATGCTCAGGGGGCAGGAGTGCATGGAGGGATGGACATAGGGAAGAGGTAACGGGAGGAAGTGGGAGGGGAGCTGTTACATTGTGGTAAACTGTAGTCAATGTCATGAGACAGTGTATGTGAACTGCTGTATGGAAAGTGAATTTACTTTGTAAATTTTCACGCAAATCACAATTAAAAAAGGGGGGGAGTGAATTTAGCTACCTCATTGGCAATCAGTGTCAGGATCACAATTGGCAGGGCAATCAAGCACATAAGCCAGGTGCTAAGGATATATTTAGGAGGCAGTGCCTAAGGCATTTGACTGCTAACCAGGTTGGTCGTTCAAATCCACCAGCCACTCCTTGGAAGGAAGGTTGGGCAATCTACTCCCATAGTGTTGACACCTTGGAAACCCAAGGAGGGGTCAATATGAGTCAGATTGGACTCGATGGCAGTGGGTTGTGTAAGGATATATTTGCTGTGATGATGCTGAAATGATTTTAGCCTGATACCTTGTTTCATTTTCTACCAGTGATTTAGCCACAAAGCAATTGCTAGTGAAACTGTAGCTAAAATGACACAGGGATATGTTTTTGAAAATAAACAGAGGGGGGAAAATAAGAAAAAGAAAGGAAAAAAAAAATAGAAGCAATTTTGTAAGAGTCAGTACATGTTAGTGAAATATCAATCTTGGTGAGGGAATCTGAAGTTCAAAAATGTAGAATTACCATTCTCACGTCACCAATGACCTGCCAAAGTTATTGGCACCATGAGAGTACCATCAGTTTTTTGTGTTGGTTCTTCACCTGCCAATGGTGAAGTAAGTGGGGATGGGAGAAGAATAACAACTCTAGGTAGCTGGGAGGATTACAGAGTCCAAAAGGTCATCTTTATTATTATTTAAAATAAGGTACTAATAGAAATCATCTAGAAAAGACTTCTAATGTTAAAGTATTATAGGAGGGAGATTACATCATGTCCTACAGCAAACTATTTCATAATTTAAAGCCTTTCATCCAGGACCCTTCAGTTTCTAACAATACTCCTATCTGCTATTACTTAAATATATTTATGGCAACAATTTAGAATGAAGCCATGATCAAACAAACAATACCCTATGTAGTTATAACTGGATTATAAAGGACATTGGATTCTGTGAGCTGTAGACAATCTATCCTTTGGAAATGTCATGTTTTTTGAATGAAAAAATAAAGACATCTGTGCAGAGAGAAAAGGATAAAAATATGGTTTGGATGATCATAAGAATTAGAAGATGCAAGTGGTTTGCTACAAAAGGGAGATTTCTAAAGTAGCTATATAAATAGAAGGCCAAGGGGACTAAGCCAAAATAACTGTCATTATTGTTTTTGGAGACTTGGTGCTTGGAACGTGAGCCTAGCTTTTTTATGCTCAGGGCTCTGGTCCATAGGCCCCAGGCATATATTATTGTGGCATTAAAAGCTCTCAAGTCACTCTTCTCTAGTTTAAGAATTTCTAATTCTATTAGCAATTTTGCTTGTGAACTACTATGCAGTCATTGATTAACATGCTTCTAAGAGATTATATGCCAAAAAGAAGGAAAATAGTATCTATTAAAATTTAGATGTGCAAAGTACCACTTTTGGCATTTTATATTTTAATCCCCACTGGAGCTCTGGTAGCATAGTGGCTAAGGCACTTGACTGCTAATCAGAAGGCTGGCAGTTCAAACCCACCAGCCACTCCTCAGAAGGAAGATGGGGCAATCTACTTCCGTAGTGATACTGCCTCGGAAACCCAAGGAGGGGTCGCTATGAGTCGGGTCTGACTCGATGGCACATAACAACAACAACAACAACAACAGAGTTTTGTGAGGCAGGAATTATTTTTTTGCCATTTCACAGATTCTGACGATATGCAGAGACTTGTCCAAGGTCATAGAACTATTAAGTGGTGGGGCTTGAATTTGAATTCAAAATCATAGATTTTTTCAAGGGCAGTGAGCAAAAGATCCAAATGCAATGGGGGGGGGGGGGGGGGGGGATTTAGCTCAAGGAAATGGATCATGCAGTCATAGAAGCTGGCACATCTCAAGTCCGTGGGTCAGATGTCATGTTGGAAGCTTCTCCTGACTCACATGCCTGCAAGGGCTGAAAAACCCAGATTGGCAGGCAATACAGCAGGATGCTGGCTTTGGAAGCTGACAAATCCAAGATTGGCAGGTAAAATGGCAGGTTGTTGGCTCACACACTATGAAGACAATAATCTCAACATTGGCAGGTAATATGGCAGACTAATAGTTCAAGTCCAGGAACCAGAGGCCAGTTGATATTAGCCAGATGCAGGATCCATATCAAGCAAAAGGCCAGAGATCTTTGTCAGGATGTCCACATATATTGGAAGCAAGCCACACCCCTGAGGACTCTTCTTTCCAATTGATTGGCTGCTCATAGCAGATCTCATCATAGAGGTGATTACTTTATACCACATTTCATCAGGGAGGATAATAACTACATCATAACTCCTAAACATTGAGAATCATGGCCCAGCCAAGTTGTCACACAACCATAATTATCACAGTCCACTTCTTGTCAACTTGGCACCTAAATACATCTCCTAAACCATGTATAATATCTAAATAAAGACGATTATGAAGTCATATTTGTACCTAATGTGATACAACATGCATATAACTTAAAATGCATTAGCTCCATTTACTTTTTATAACTGAAGAAACAAAAATATTTTATGCATACATACAAGGAAGAAATACTCATGGCAATCATAATTCTCATTTCTGCAACTGGTCATGTGGTGGAAACTGGCACTGAGAACTACCTTCTTCCACCACCAATTCCGTATTCCTTTTGCCCTTATCAAGCACCTCAGCTAGTTTTGGTTCCCTGCCTGGTGGGGTGAACCAAGACTTTATTCCTGAAGGTTCTGGGCCATTAGTAGTCATATCAAAATTGGGTTGCTGTAGTTTTCCATTGAATGTAATCTTATATTGCAGACATACTCTTGTTTACTTCCATTATGTAATATCACTGTGTTTTGCCCCTAGTAATCAGGATCAATCACACCAGGCAATACTCTTTTCTTTGCCTGTTGATTCCAGAAGCATGAGGAGCCCAAAAGGGCTGGGTGTCATTCTTAACTTCCAGTTCAATGGAATTAATATTGTGTCTGCAGGTGGGAGTATTTTTTCCTTTGGGACTTAGACCTCAAGACCCACAGTGCACAGGGTTTCAGAGACAGGAAGCAAAATTTGGCGAGTAGGTCACTAGGGGTAATAATGAATGCTATCACTCCCATTTCCATCCTATGGTTCTTGGACGTGTGAATTCTGGCTATTGGGAAAACAGCACCATATATTGAACACTGGTTTAGAGAATATACAGCCTCCTGGAGAACATTGGCCCAACCCTGCAGGGCTTGCCACCTTACTGGCATTGTAACTGTGTCTTTAGAAGGTCATTCCATCGTTTTATCAAACCAATTACTTCAGGATGATAGGGAACATGGTAAGACCAGTGAATTTCATTAGCATGGGCCTACAGCCATACTTCATTTGCTGTGAAGTGAGTCCCTTGATCTGGGGTGACGCTGTGTGGGATGCCATGATGGTGGACAAGGCATTCTATAAGCCCATGGATGGTAATTTCGGTAGAAGCACTGTGTGTGGGGAAGACAAATACACATTCAGAGTATGTGTCTATTCCAGTAAGAACAAAATGCTGCTATTTCCATGATGTAAGTAGTTTGGTGTAATAAATCTGCCACCAGGTTCCTGGCTGATCACCCTGAGGAATCACATTCTCAGTGTTGGTTTCTGCTGCTGACAAGTTGGGCACTGAGCATTGGATGCAGCCAAGTTGGCCTTGCTGAGTGGAAGTCCACGTTGATAAGCCTGTGCTCAATCTCCATCCCAGCCACCATGGCCACTTTTGTTCATGAGCCCATTGAGCAATGACAGCAGTGGCTGGGGAAAAGATTACTCGTTTCCACAGAACATGGCATCCCATCCACTTGATTGTTAAAATCCTCCTCTGCCGAGGTCACCCTTTGGTGAGCATTCACATGAGCCATAAGTATCTTCACGTCTTTGGCTCCTTCAGACAGGTCTATCCACATACCTCTCCCCCAAACCTCTTTGTCACCAATTTTCCAATCATGTTCCTTCCAAGTCCCTGACCATCCAGCCAAATCATTGGCCACAGCCCATGAATCAGTATACAATTGCACATCTGGCCATTTCTCCTTCCAAGGAAAGTGATCAACTAGATTCACTGCTTGAAGATATGTCCATGGTGAGGATTTCCCTTCACCATTGTCCTTCAGAGAAGTCCCAGAAAGGGGCTGCAGTGCTGTTGCTCACCACTTTGAAGAGGTGCCTGCATATTGTGCAGAGCTATCTGTAAGCCAGGCATAAGTCTTCTCTTCTTCAGTCAACTGATCATAAGGAACTCCCTATAATGCCATAGGTGCAGACTGGGAGGGGGAAGGTAATGTGACTAGTGGAGACCACAGGCATTTGAGCCACTTCCTCATGCAACTTGTGATTTCAGGTCCTGCATGAGCTGGATTTCTTATATACTGCCTCCATTTAATGATGGAGTTCTGCTGTACATATCCACATTTATGACTCTGTGGATGAGACAACACCCAGTTCATGAAGGACAGCTTAGATCACAAGTCTGTCTAAGGTCAAAACCCATAGGTACCTTCAGGGACAGTGAGAAAAAGATCCAAGAACTCTTATTTATTTATTTTTATTTTAAATTTATTTTTTAAAGTAACTTTTAATTGTGATTTGGGTGAACGTTTGCTGAGTAAATTGGCTTTCCATTCAACAGTTCATGCACATTTTGTTTCATGACATTAATTACAAACTCCACAATGTAATAGCACTCTTCCCACTTCCTCCCTATGTTACTGTTTCCCTTTGTCCTTCTTTCCCATCCATTCTTGCCTTCTGAGCAACATCCCTTGGAAAAGACTGCCCTTTTGATCTCTTAAATTTGGTTGTTCTAAGAAGTGAATACCTTCCTTGTGTTACTGTTCACCTCATAGGCCTGTCTATTGTTTGGCTGAAAAGTAGACCCATGGTAGTGAGTTCAGTTCTTGGCCTGAAGGGTGACTAAGGGCCATAGCCTCAGAGTTCCACCAATCTCTATCAGACCAGTAAGCCTGGTCTTTTTATTACTATTATTAGTATTATTTTGAGATCTGTTTCACATTTTTCTCCCAGCCTATCCAGGATCTCCTATTGTGATCCCTTTCATATGGTTGGCACTGGTAGACAGTCACCATCTAGTTCTTCTGGTCTCAGGGTCATGGAGACTGAGGTTCAGATGGTTCACTTGTCCCCTGGAATAATTGTTTCCATGTGCCTTTGATTTTCTTCACTCTTCTTTGCTCTAGAGGAAGAGATCAATAGTTGCACCTTAGATGGACACTTGAAAGCTTTTAAGACCCCAGTTGCCACTCAGGAAAGCAGGATGTAGAACAATGTCTTTTTTGGATTGTTATGCCAATTGACCTTGATATTACCTGTGACTGTTGTCATGAGCTCATAGGCCCAGGGACTCAAGGTGTTTGGTTATAGCTAAGAACTTTTCATATCTTTACCCCACTGTTGTTGTTGTGTGCCGTCAAATCTGCCCCAACTCATAGCGACCTCTCCTTGGGTTTCTGAGGCAGTATCACTACGGAAGTAGATTGTCCCATCTTCCTTCCGAGGAGTAGCTGGTGGGTTTGAACTACCAGCCTTCTGATTAGCAGTCAAGTGCCTTAGGCACTATGCTACCAGAGCTCCCATTAGCTCTACTTTATACATGAACATCTTTATAGCACATACATATAGTTTATGTAGAAATATTGTCTTCCTAACCTATGTATGGCCATGGATATAGTCTTGTTTGCCTACCCATACCTCATCATCTTTCCTGTGTACCTATGTGTTCACTCATACATTAATGTTTATTATTACTGATAATGCAGGGTTGTGTATGTAACAGTGTTTACCTTTATTGTATCTAACTCTTGTGCACCTTTCCATGGCTACCTTTTCCTTAGTGATATTGTGCTGGTCATTCACTATTTATATATTGCCTTTTTCTTCACCCATATGAATACATGTCTCTTACCCATTTAGTAATTTTCCTTCCCCTCCACTCGCATCCTTGGTAATCGTCAACGGATATTTCTTTCTGCGTGTAATCCTTTCTTTGGGTTTTTACAGTAGTGAACTCATACAATATTTGTGAGTTTTTTTGTGACTGACTTAATTCACTCAGCATATTGTCTTCTAAGTTCATCCACATTATGAGGTGTTCCACAGATTCTTCATTATTCTTTAATGTTGCATAGTATTCCATTCTGTTTGTACCATAGCTTGTTTATCCATTCATAAAGCTTCTGGAGGCTTGAGGGAAGATCTGTTCCATGAGTATCTCTTAGATTCTGGTGGTTACTGGAATTCCTTGACATTCCTTAGCTTCTAGCTATATGACTCTAATCACTTCCTCCATGGTTACATGGCCTTCTTCCTCTGTGTTTGTTTCTGTGTGTACATCTTTTCTTTGTATAAGGATACTAAAAAAAACAAAAAAACAAAAAAAACCTCACTGCTCTTGAGTTGATTTGACTCATAGTGACCCCTCCTTGGGTTTCCAAGGCAGTACTTCTACAGAAGTAGATTGGCCCAATCTTCCTTCTGAGTGAATGGTGGGTTTGAACAGCTAGCCTTCTGGTTATCAGTCAAATACCTTAGGAACTATGCCACCAGAGCTCTAGTCCTATGGACTTAGGGCTCAACCTAATGTGGTATGATCCCATTTTAACTAATTACACCTTCCAACACCCTATTTCAAAATAAGTTCACATTTTGAGCTTCTGAGTGGACATCAATTTTGAGGAACACTATTCAACACAGTACAGCAGGGAAGAAAGAAAATGGCTGCTGAAAGCAGGAGGTTGTTCTTGCAATGTAAGCCTAGAAGTGGAAGGCAGACAGTACTAGAAAGAATTGGTAATGCACAAGTAAGTTGATATTTTTCATGAGCCCATAAATCAAATTGCTACTTTTTTTCTATGTTGTTGTTATGTGCCGGTGAGTTAGACTTGACTCGCAGCGACCCCTTCTTGGGTTTCTGAGGCAGTATCATTACAGAAGTAGATTGTCCAACCTTCCTTCTGAGGAGTGGCTGGTGGGTTTGAAGTGCCAGCCTTCTGGTTAGCAGTCAAGTGCCTTAGGCACTACACTACCAGAGCTCCTTTTTTTTCTATATACATTCTATATTCTTTTCCTAGGTTGTAAGTCTAAACTGGGTCTGAATCTCTAAAAGAAGTTTGAATAATTAGTGACAAAATAGAAGAACCCTGAACAAATCCAAACTATTTTGTTCTGTCACTATTTTAGGGTATCAATAGAACATATTTTTAGAACTGAGAATACAGCACTGGTGACTCACCTGTTATAATCCTCAAATGTTTCATTGTGTGTAGTCCAGTGACCTATAGTTCCATGATATTCCACAGAAACTCAAATTATATGTACTGTCTTGGTATCTTGCTGATACAATAGAAGTTTATTGGGTGCAGGCATTCCTGCTGATTAGCATTTTAGGAGCGAGGACAGAGTTTTCAAAATTCTGATTTATATTGGGAATCCCATGAAATTAAAAAAAAAAAAAATTACTGGTCTAGTTGGGTGCTTTCTGTTTTAATTTTTTTCAGCTTAGGGATCATGAGTCTCTTCTGCATGATTCCACCCATCTGTCCCATTTCCTTCTTATCCATACACCAGATAGTCAATCACAAGGGCAATAAGACAAGCTTAAGAAATACTCAATATTTAGGGGGAAAAAAAAGTTTAAAGGCATTAGTCAAGACTGATTAAGGGATAAGGATCTCTGCCATTGAAAACTAACACAGGAGTTCCTAGAAAAAGGGAGGCTGCATACAGCAGGAATGAGTTACTGGAGGTGGTTTGGAAGTCTCTGCTAGGGAGTGTTTAAAAAAAGACATTTACATTTGAAGGCAGGATACTGATCATACAATGGGATTGCAGACTATTTTCAGTGTTCCATATGGTACAGCATCTTTTTAAGTCTTAGGGACTTTTTGGCAAGGCTTAAAAGTGCTCACCTTGAAAAAAGGTGCAAAGAAAAGAAATGGAAATGTGGGTATGAAGAGGCCACACATAAATGAAAAAATGAGTAGGCTTTCTCTAAATGACTGACCACCAGCATCATCAGTGAGCACTTCAGCTTTTATTTTTTTCTCACCTTTTCTATTTGTTGTTGCAGTGCTACAATGTCTTCTTCAAGTTGTTTAATTCTCTTATCTCGTAGATGTACTTCATGAGCTAAAAGATTCTTGACTCTGTGAAGCTTGATTTTCTGGTGGTGATGTTTCTCATTATAGGTTCTATAAAAATAAATTTGACTATGTATAGTTACACCTGGAAACAGTTAAAAATTTATTTTGCCTCCTCAATTTGTACCTTTCTTAGGTTTCCTCTTCTTGCTTAAGTCAGGGGTCTGGCATGAGATATGGATACTTATTCTGCATTATGTCTGACAGACTTATTACCACCTGCCCCCAAGTGGAGGAATAGATCAAGGAGAAAATAAAAGCAGCCTAAGTCATCCCCATAGACTCAATCCTCTGGCTTACCTTAGCCTTGTGTTGATGGTTGTGATTGTTTTTAGCATATGAGTTTAATTCAGGAAAATCTATGACTTCTGATATCTGAAATCTAAATTCTGAATCCTGTCCCACTCATTCAGACATTTTAAAATTTCCTAGTGTTATATGCCACCACTTGTCTGTCAGTTTATTGTACTGTGGTGGCGTGCATGTTGCTATAAGGCTGGAGGCTATGCCACCAGTATTTCAAAGATAAGCAGGGTCACCACGGTAGACAGGTTTCAGTGGAGCTTCCAGACTAAGACTGACTGGGAAGAAGGAAGGGGCCATCTACTTTTCAAAGAAAGGGCCAGTGAAAACTTTATGAATAGCAGTGAAATACTGTCTGGTAGATTATTGGAAAACTTCATGAATAGCACTGAAGCACTGCCTGATATGGTACTGGAAGATGAGCCTCTCAGGTTGGAAGGCACTCAAAATAGGACTGGGGAAGAGCTGCCTCCACAAAGTAGAGTTGACCTTAAAGATGTGGATGGAGTAAAGCTTTTGGGACCTTCATTTGATGATGGGGCACGACTCTTAATGGGAAGAAACAGCTGCAAAAATCCACTAATAATTGGAACATGGAATGTATGAAGTATGAATGTAAGAAAATTGGAAGTTGCCAAAAATGAAATAGAACACATAAAGATTGATATCCTAGGCATTAGAGAGCTGGAATGGACTGGTATTGGCCATTTTGAATCAGACAATCATATGATCTACTATGTTGGGAATGACAAAATGAAAAGGAATGATACCACATTCCTCGTCTAAAAGAAAGTTTCAAAATCTATCCTGAAGCACAATGCTGTCAGGATAGGATAATATCCATATGCCTACAAGGAAGACCAGTTACTACTACTATTATTCAAATATATGCATAACTGCTAAAGCCAAAGATGAAGAAATTAAAGATTTTTACCAACTTCTGCAGTGTGAAATACACCAAACACTCGATCAAGATATATTGATGATTACTGGTGATTGGGATGTGAAACTTGGAAACAAAGAAGAATCATTGGTAGTTGGAAAATACAATGTTTGTGAAAGAAATGACAGTGGAGATCACATGATAGAATTTTGCAAGACCAACAACTTATTCATTGTTGTTGTTGTTGTTAAGTGCCATCGAGTCGTTTCCGACTCATAGCGACCCCATGCACAGCAGAATGAAACACTGCCTGATCCCGCGCCAGCCCCACAATCCCTGCTATACTTGAGCCCATCATCGCAGCCACCGTATCAATCCATCTCATTGAAGGCCTCCCCCTCTTTCGTCG